CATTTCGCACTTATAGTGCAAGTAGGGCCAAGGAGAACGGAAACGCTCATTTCTCAAAAAGTAAAGGGAATCTAGCGGTCTGACTCGATCAGAAGGTGGGAAATATATAAATCTAGTGAGCTAATAAGGTTCGAAAGGAATCTAATGCATATGTATATGGAAAATGGTGCATTGGCTAGGTCTGTCAGTATGGGAACTTAGAGTGCAAAAGCCAGGGAGAACGGAAGCGCTCAGATCTGGCATAGTACACGGAATCTAGTGGTCTCATTCAAATAGAAGGTAGGAAATAAATTCATCTAGTGAACGTAAGGGTTTGAAAGGTAACTAACGCACATGTGTAGAGAAAATGGTGCATCGGTCAGTCTGGCCGGCATTTCGCACTTATAGTGCAAGTAGGGCCAAGGAGAACGGAAACGCTCATTTCTCAAAAAGTAAAGGGAATATAGCGGTCTCACTTGATCAGAAGGTGGGAAATATATAAATCTAGTGAGCTAATAAGGTTCGAAAGGAATCTAATGCATATGTATGTGGAAAATGGTACATTGGCCAGGTCGGTCAGTATGGGAACTTAGAGTGCAAATGCCAGGGAGAACGGAAGCGCTCAGATCTCGCATAGTACACGGAATCTAGTGGTCTCACTCAAATAGAAGGTAGGAAATAAATTCATCTAGTGAACGTAATAGTGTGAAAGGTAACTAACGCACATGTGTAGAGAAAATGGTGCATCGGCCAGTCTGGCCGGCATTTCGCACTTATAGTGCAAGTAGGGCCAAGGAGAACGGAAACGCTCATTTCTCAAAAAGTAAAGGGAATCTAGCCTTCTCACTCGATTAGAAGGTGGGAAATATATAAATCTAGTGAGCTAATAAGGTTCAGAAGGAATCTAATGCATATGTATATGGAAAGTGGTGCATTGGCCAGGTCGGTCAGTATGGGAACTTAGAGTGCAAATGCCTGGGAGAACGGAACCGCTCAGATCTCGCATAATACACAGAATCTAGTGGTCTCACTCAAATATAAGGTAGGAAATATGTTTATCTAGTGAACATAAGGGTTTGAAAGGTAACTAACGCACATGTGTAGAGAAAATGGTGCATCGGCCAATCTCGCCGGCATTTCGCACTCATAGTGCAGGTGGGGCCAAGGAGAACGGAAACGCTCATTTCTCAAAAAGTAAGGGAATCTAGCGGTCTCACTCGATCAAAAGGTGGGAAATATATAAATCTAGTGAGCTAATAAGGTTCGAAAGGAATCTAATGCATATGTATATGGAAAATGGTGCATTGGCCAGGTCGGTCAGTATGGGAACTTAGAGTGCAAATGCCAGGGAGAACGGAAGCGCTCAGATCTCGCATAGTTCACGGAATCTAGTGGTCTCACTCAAAAAGAAGGTAGGAAATAAATTCATCTAGTGAATGTAAGGGTTTGAAAGGTAACTAACGCACATGTGTAGAGAAAATGGTGCATCGGCCAGTCTGGCCGGCATTTCGCACTTATAGTGCAAGTAGGGCCAAGGAGAACGGAAACGCTCATTTCTCAAAAAGTAATAGGAATCTAGTGGTCTCACTCAATCAAAAGGTGGGAAATATATAAATCTAGCGAGCAAATAAGGTTTGGAAGGAATCTAATGCATATGTATATGGAAAGTGGTGCATTGGCCAGGTCGGTCAGTATGGGAACTTAGAGTGCAAATGCCTGGGAGAACGGAAGCGCTCAGATCTCGCATAATACACGGAATCTAGTGGTCTCACTCAAACATAAGGTAGGAAATATATTCATCTAGTCAACGTAAGGGTTTGGAAGGTAACTAACGCACATGTGTAGAGAAAATGGTGCATCGGCCAGTCTGGCCGGCATTTCGCACTCGTAGTGCAAGTGGGGCCAGGGAGAACGGAAACGCTCGTTTCTCAAAAAGTAGAGGGAATCTAACGGTCTCACTCGATCAGAAGGTGGGAAATATATAAATCTAGTCAGCTAAAAAGGTTTGAAATGTATTCAACGCACATGTATAGATAAAATGGTGCATTGGCCACGTCGGTCAGTATCGGAACTTAGAGTGCAAATGCCAGGGAGAACGGAAGCGCTCAGATCTCGCATAGCATACGGAATCAAGTGGTCTCACTCAAATAGAAAGTAGGAAATATATTCATCTAGTGAATGTAAGGGTTTGAAAGGTAACTAACGCACATGTGTAGAGAAAATTGTGCATCGGCCAGTCTGGCCGGCATTTCGCACTTATAGTGCAAGTAGGGCCAAGGAGAACGGAAACGATCATTTCTCAAAACGTAAGGGGAATCTAGCGGTCTCACTCGATCAGAAGGTGGGAAATATATAAATCTAGTGAGCAAAAAAGGTTCAAAAGGAATCTAATGCATATTGTCAGAGGTCCACTGGTGATCCCCGATCGATCCTAGGGAAGGGTTACAGGCACGTTTGCCTGGGGGGTTATGGGCGCACTGACCCGCTAGTGAAACAAGCCCTTTTATCCCAATGGTCTAGTGGTTGGGATTCTGACATGGTATCAGAGCGAAGGTTTCGGGTTCGAATCCCGTTGTATGCATTTCGGGCATCCCAGTGCGGGGGGGTGTCAGAGGTCCACTGGTGATCCCCGATCGATCCTAGGGAAGGGTTACAGGCACGTTTGCCTAGGGGGTTAAGGGCGCACTGACCCGCTAGTGAAACAAGCCCTTTTATCCCAATGGTCTAGTGGTTGGGATTCTGACACATATGTATATAGAAAATGGTGCATTGGCCAGGTCGGTCAGTATGGGAACTTAGAGTGCAAATGCCAGGGAGAACGGAAGCGCTCAGATCTCGCATAGTACACGGAATATAGTGGTCTCACTCAAATAGAAGGTAAGAAATAAATTCATCTAGTGAACGTAAGGGTTTGAAAGGTAACTAACGCACATGTGTAGAGAAAATGGTGCATCGGCCAGTCTGGCCGGCATTTCGCACTTATAGTGCAAGTAGGGCCAAGGAGAACGGAAACGCTCATTTCTCAAAAACTATAGGGAATCTAGCGGTCTCACTCGATCAGAAGGTGGGAAATATATAATTATAGTGAGCTAATAAGGTTCGAAAGGAATCTAATGCATATGTATATGGAAAATGGTGCATTGGCCAGGTCGGTCAGTATGGGAACTTAGAGTGCAAATGCCAGGGAGAACGGAAGCGCTCAGATCTCGCATAGTACACGGAATCTAGTGGTCTCACTCAAATAGAATGTAGGAAATAAATTCATCTAGTGAACGTAAGGGTTTGAAAGGTAACTAACGCACATGTGTAGAGAAAATGGTGCATCGGCCAGTCTGGCCGGCATTTCGCACTTTTAGTGCAACTAGGGCCAAGGAGAACGGAAACGCTCATTTCTCAAAAAGTAAAGGGAATCTAGCGGTCTCACTCGATCAGAAGGTGGGAAATATATAAATCTAGTGAGCTAATAATGTTCGGAAGGAATCTTATGCATATGTATATGGAAAGTGGTGCATTGGCCAGGTCGGTCAGTATGGGAACTTAGAGTGCAAATGCATCGGAGAACAAAAGCGCTCAGATCTCGCATAGTACACGGAATCTAGTGGTCTCACTCAAATAGAAGGTAGGAAATAAATTCATCTAGTGAACGTAAGGGTTTGAAAGGTAACTAACGCACATGTGTAGAGAAAATGGAGCATCGGCCAGTCTCGCCGGCATTTCGCACTTATAGTGCAAGTAGGGCCAAGGAGAACGAAAACGCTAATTTCTCAAAAAGTAGAGGGAATCTAGCAGTCTCACTCAATCAGAAGGTGGGAAATATATAAATCTAGTGAGCTAATAAGGTTCGAAAGGAATCTAATGCATATGTATATGAAAAATGGTGCATTGGCCAGGTCGGTCAGTATGGGAACTTAGAGTGCAAATGCCAGAGAGAACGGAAGCGCTCAGATCTCGCATAGTACACGGAATCTAGTGGTCTCACTCAAATAGAAGGTAGGAAATAAATTCATCTAGTGAACGTAATAGTGTGAAAGGTAACTAACGCACATGTGTAGAGAAAATGGTGCATCGGCCAGTCTGGCCGGCATTTCGCACTTATAGTGCAAGTAGGGCCAAGGAGAACGGAAACGCTCATTTCTCAAAAAGTAAAGGGAATCTAGCGGTCTCACTCGATCAGAAGGTGGGAAATATATAAATCTAGTGAGCTAATAAGGTTCGGAAGGAATCTAATGCATATGTATATGGAAAGTGGTGCATTGGCCAGGTCGGTCAGTATGGGAACTTAGAGTGCAAATGCTTGGGAGAACGGAACCGCTCATATCTCGCATAATACACCGAATCTAGTGGTCTCACTCAAATATAAGGTAGGAAATATATTCATCTAGTGAACGTAAGGGTTTGAAAGGTAACTAACGCACATGTGTAGAGAAAATGGTGCATTGGCCAGTCTGGCCGGCATTTCGCACTCATAGTGCAGGTGGGGCCAGGGAGAACGGAAACGCTCGTTTCTCAAAAAGTAGAGGGAATCTAACGGTCTCACTCGATGAGAAGGTGGGAAATATATAAATCTAGTCAGCTAAAAAGGTTTGAAATGTATTCAACGCACATGTATAGAGAAAATGGTGCATTGGCCACGTCGGTCAGTATCGGAACTTAAAATGCAAATGCCAGGGAGAACGGAAGCGCTCAGATCTCGCATAGTACACGGAATCAAGTGGTCTCACTCAAATAGAAAGTAGGAAATCTATTCATCTAGTGAACGTAAGGGTTTGAAAGGTAACTAACGCACATCTGTAGAGAAAAGGGTGCATCGGCCAGTCTGGCCGGCATTTCGCACTTATAGTGCAACTAGGGCCAAGGAGAACGGAAACGCTCATTTCTCAAAAAGTAGAGGGAATCTAGCGGTCTCACTCGATCAGAAGGTGGGAAATATATAAATCTAGTGAGCTAATAAGGTTCGAAAGGAATCTAATACATATGTATATGGAAAATGGTGCATTGGCCAGGTCGGTCAGTATGGGAACTTAGAGTGCAAATGACATGGACGTGGACGTGGACGTGGACATGGACATGGACGTGGACGTGGACGTGGACATAGACGTGGATGTGGACATGTCCATGTCCATGTCCACGTCCACGTCCACGTCTATGTCCACGTCCACGTTCACGTCCACGTCCATGTCCATGTCCATGTCCACGTCCATGTCCACGTCCACGTCCATGTCCAAGTCCATGTCCCTGTCTACGTCCACGTCCACGTCCATGTCCACGTCCACATCCTCGTCCACGTCTAGGTCCACGTCCATGTCTACGTCCACGTCCACGTCCATGTCCACGTCCACGTCCATGTCCAAGACCACGTCCACGTCCACGACGACGTCCACGTCCACGTCCACGTCCACGTCTAAGTCCATGTCCACGTCCATGTCCACGTCCACGTCCTTGTCCACATCCACGACCATGTCTTCGTCCACGTCCACGTCCACGTCCATGTCCACGTCCATGTCCACGTCCAAGTTCTCCACGTCCACGTCCACTTCCACGTCGACGTCCACGTACATGTCCACGTCCATGTCCACGTCCACGTCCACGTCCATGTCCACGTCCACGTCCATGTCCACGTCAACGTCCACGTCAACGTCCATCTCCACGTCCAAGTCCTCCACGTCCACGTCCACGTCCATCTCCACGTCCACGTCCACGTCCACGTCCACGCCCACGTCCACGTCCATGTCCACGTCCATGTCCACGTCCATGTCCACGTCCATGTCCACGTCCATGTCCACGTCCATGTCCACGTCCATGTCCACGTCCATGTCCACGTCCATGTCCACGTCCATGTCCACGTCCATGTCCACGTCCATGTCCACGTCCATGTCCATGTCCACGTCCATGTCCACGTCCATGTCCACGTCCATGTCCACGTCCACGTCCATGTCCACGTCCACGTCCACGTCCATGTCCACGTCCATGTCCACGTCTATGTCCACGTCCACGTCTATCTCCACGTCCACGTCCATGTCCACGTCCACGTCCACGTCCACGTCCACGTCCATGTCCACGTCCACGTCCATGTCCACGTCCACGTCCATGTCCATGTCCACGTCCACGTCCATGTCCACGTCCACGTCCACGTCCATGTCCACGTCCACGTCGATGTCCACCTCCACGTCCACGTCCATGTCCACGTCCACGTCCATGTCCACGTCCACGTCCTCCACGTCCACGTCCACGTCCACGTCCACGTTCACGTCCATGTCCACGTCCAAGTTCTCCACGTCCACGTCCACGTCCACGTCCACGTCCTCCACGTCCACGTCCACGTCCACGTCCTCCACGTCCACGTCCACGTCCACGTCCACGTCCACGGCCACGTCCACGTCCACGTCCATCTCCACGGCCACGTCCACGTCCACGTCCACGTCCACGTCCATGTCCACGTCCACGTCCACGTCCATGTCCACGTCCACGTCCACGTCCACTCCACGTCCATGTCCACGTCCACGTCTACGTCCACGTCCACGTCCACGTCCACGTCCACGTCCACGTCACGTCCACGTCCACGTCCATGTCCACGTCCACGTCCACTCCACGTCCACGTCCATGTCCACGTCCAAGTCCTCCACGTCCACGTTCACGTCCATGTCCATGTCCAAGTTCTCCACGTCCACGTCCACGTCCACGTCCACGTCCTCCACGTCCACGTCCACGTCCTCCACGTCTACGTCCACGTCCACGTCCACGTCCATGTCCACGTCCATGTCCACGTCCACGTCTACGTCCATGTCCACGTCCACGTCCACGTCCACGTCCACGTCCACGTCCATGTCCACGTCCACGTCCACGTCCACGTCCAAGTTCTCCACGTCCACGTCCACGTCCACGTCGATGTCCACGTCCACGTCCACGTCCACGTCCACGTCCACGTCCAGGTCCACGTCCACGTTCACGTCCACGTCCACGTCCACGTCCACGTCCTCGTCCACTCCACGTCCACGTCCACGTCCATGTCCATGTCCACGTCCACGTCCACGTCCATGTCCACGTTCACGTCCACGTCCATGTTCACGTCCACGTCCACGTCCACGTTCACGTCCACGTCCACGTCCACGTCCACGTCCACGTCCACTCCACGTCCATGTCCACGTCCATGTCCACGTCCACGTCCATGTCCACGTTCACGTCCACGTCCACGTCCACGTCCACGTCCACGTCCACGTCCATGTCCACGTCCATGTCCACGTCCACGTCCACGTCCACGTCCACGTCCAGTCCACGTCCACGTCCACGTCCACGTCCACGTCCACGTCCACGTCCACGTCCACGTCTACGTCCATGTCCACGTCCACGTCCACGTCCACGTCCACGTCCACGTCCACTCCACGTCCACGTCCACGTCCACGTCCACGTCCACGTCACGTCCACGTCCACGTCCATGTCCACGTCCACGTCCACTCCACGTCCACGTCCATGTCCACGTCCAAGTCCTCCACGTCCACGTTCACGTCCATGTCCACGTCCAAGTTCTCCACGTCCACGTCCACGTCCACGTCCACGTCCACCACGTCCACGTCCACGTCCTCCACGTCCACGTCCACGTCCACGTCCATGTCCACGTCCATGTCCACGTCCACGTCTACGTCCATGTCCACGTCCACGTCCACGTCCACGTCCACGTCCACGTCCACGTCCATGTCCACGTCCACGTCCACGTCCATGCCAAGTTCTCCACGTCCACGTCCACGTCCACGTCGATGTCCACGTCCACGTCCACGTCCACGTCCACGTCCAGGTCCACGTCCACGTTCACGTCCACGTCCACGTCCACGTCCTCGTCCACTCCACGTCCATGTCCACGTTCACGTCTACGTCCACGTCCACGTCCACGTCCACGTCCATGTCCACGTCCACGTCCATGTCCACGTCCACGTCCATGTCCATGTCCACGTCCACGTCCATGTCCACGTCCACGTCCACGTCCATGTCCACGTCCACGTCCATGTCCACCTCCACGTCCACGTCCATGTCCACGTCCAAGTCCTCCACGTCCACGTCCACGTCCACGTCCACGTTCACGTCCATGTCCACGTCCAAGTTCTCCACGTCCACGTCCACGTCCACGTCCACGTCCACGTCCTCCACGTCCACGTCCACGTCCACGTCCTCCACGTCCACGTCCACGTCCACGTCTACGTCCACGTCCACGTCCATGTCCACGGCCACGTCCACGTCCACGTCCATCTCCACGGCCACGTCCACGTCCACGTCCACGTCCACGTCCACGTCCATGTCCACGTCCACGTCCACGTCCACGTCTATGTCCACGTCCACGTCCACGTCCACTCCACCTCCACGTCCACATCCACGTCCATGTCCACGTCCACGTCCACGTCCACGTCTACGTCCACGTCCACGTCCACGTCCACGTCCACGTCCACGTCCACGTCACGTCCACATCCACGTCCATGTCCACGTCCACGTCCACTCCACGTCCACGTCCATGTCCACGTCCAAGTCCTCCACGTCCACGTTCACGTCCATGTCCATGTCCAAGTTCTCCACGTCCACGTCCACGTCCACGTCCTCCACGTCCACGTCCACGTCCTCCACGTCTACGTCCACGTCCACGTCCACGTCCATGTCCACGTCCATGTCCACGTCCACGTCTACGTCCATGTCCACGTCCACGTCCACGTCCACGTCCACGTCCACGTCCATGTCCACGTCCACGTCCACGTCCACGTCCAAGTTCTCCACGTCCACGTCCACGTCCACGTCGATGTCCACGTCCACGTCCACGTCCACGTCCACGTCCACGTCCAGGTCCACGTCCAGGTCCACGTCCACGTTCACGTCCACGTCCACGTCCACGTCCACGTCCTCGTCCACTCCACGTCCATGTCCACGTCCACGTCCACGTCCACGTCCACGTCCACGTCCATGTCCACGTTCACGTCCACGTCCATGTCCACGTCCACGTCCACGTCCACGTCCACGTTCACGTCCACGTCCACGTCCACGTCCACGTCCACTCCACGTCCATGTCCACGTCTATGTCCACGTCCACGTCCATGTCCACGTTCACGTCCACGTCCACGTCCACGTCCACGTCCACATCCTCGTCCACGTCCAGGTCCACGTCCATGTCTACGTCCACGTCCACGTCCATGTCCACGTCCACGTCCATGTCCAAGACCACGTCCACGTCCACGACGACGTCCACGTCCACGTCCACGTCCACGTCCACGTCTAAGTCCATGTCCACGTCCACGTCCACGTCCACGTCCACATCCACGACCATGTCTTCGTCCACGTCCACGTCCACGTCCATGTCCACGTCCATGTCCACGTCCAAGTTCTCCACGTCCACGTCCACTTCCACGTCGACGTCCACGTACATGTCCACGTCCATGTCCACGTCCACGTCCACGTCCATGTCCACGTCCATGTCCACGTCCACGTCCACGTCCACGTCAACGTCCATCCCCACGTCCAAGTCCTCCACGTCCACGTCCACGTCCACGTCCATGTCCACGTCCATGTCCACGCCCACGTCCACGTCCATGTCCACGTCCATGTCCACATCCATGTCCACGTCCATGTCCACGTCCATGTCCACGTCCATGTCCACGTCCATGTCCACGTCCATGTCCACGTCCATGTCCATGTCCACGTCCATGTCCACGTCCATGTCCACGTCCATGTCCACGTCCACGTCCATGTCCACGTCCACGTCCACGTCCATGTCCACGTCCATGTCCACGTCCATGTCCACGTCCACGTCTATCTCCACGTCCACGTCCATGTCCACGTCCACGTCCACGTCCACGTCCACGTCCATGTCCAAGTCCACGTCCATGTCTACGTCCACGTCCATGTCCATGTCCACGTCCACGTCCACGTCCATGTCCACGTCCACGTCCACGTCCATGTCCACGTCCACGTCCATGTCCACCTCCACGTCCACGTCCATGTCCACGTCCAAGTCCTCCACGTCCACGTCCACGTCCACGTTCACGTCCATGTCCACGTCCAAGTTCTCCACGTCCACGTCCACGTCCACGTCCACGTCCTCCACGTCCACGTCCACGTCCACGTCCTCCACGTCCACGTCCACGTCCACGTCCATGTCCACGGCCACGTCCACGTCCACGTCCATCTCCACGGCCACGTCCACGTCCACGTCCACGTCCACGTCCATGTCCACGTCCACGTCCACGTCCACGTCCATGTCCACGTCCACGTCCACGTCCACTCCACGTCCACGTCCACGTCCACGTCCACGTCGACGTCCACGTCCACGTCCACGTCCACGTCCGCGTCCACGTCACGTCCACGTCCACGTCCATGTCCACGTCCACGTCCACTCCACGTCCACGTCCATGTCCACGTCCAAGTCCTCCACATCCACGTTCACGTCCATGTCCATGTCCAAGTTCTCCACGTCCACGTCCACGTCCACGTCCTCCACGTCCACGTCCACGTCCTCCACGTCTACGTCCACGTCCACGTCTACGTCCATGTCCACGTCCATGTCCACGTCCACGTCTACGTCCATGTCCACGTCCACGTCCACGTCCACGTCCACGTCCACGTCCACGTCCACGTCCATGTCCACGTCCACGTCCACGTCCACGTCCAAGTTCTCCACGTCCACGTCCACGTCCACGTCGATGTCCACGTCCACGTCCACGTCCACGTCCACGTCCACGTCCAGGTCCACGTCCACGTTCACGTCCACGTCCACGTCCACGTCCACGTCCTCGTCCACTCCACGTCCATGTCCACGTCCACGTCCACGTCCACGTCCACGTCCACGTCCACGTCCATGTCCACGTTCACGTCCACGTCCATGTCCACGTCCACGTCCACGTCCACGTCCACGTTCACGTCCACGTCCACGTCCACGTCCACGTCCACGTCCACGTCCACTCCACATCCATGTCCACGTCCATGTCCACGTCCACGTCCATGTCCACGTTCACGTCCACGTCCACGTCCACGTCCACGTCCATGTCCACGTCCATGTCCACGTCCACGTCCACGTCCACGTCCAGTCCACGTCCACGTCCACGTCCACGTCCACGTCCACGTCCACGTCCACGTCTACGTCCATGTCCACGTCCACGTCCACGTCCACGTCCACTCCAAGTCCACGTCCACGTCCACGTCCACGTCCACGTCCACGTCACGTCCACGTCCACGTCCATGTCCACGTCCACGTCCACTCCACGTCCACGTCCATGTCCTCGTCCAAGTCCTCCACGTCCACGTTCACGTCCATGTCCACGTCCAAGTTCTCCACGTCCACGTCCACGTCCACGTCCACGTCCTCCACGTCCACGTCCACGTCCTCCACGTCCACGTCCACGTCCACGTCCACGTCCATGTCCACGTCCATGTCCACGTCCACGTCCACGTCCACGTCCACGTCCACGTCCACGTCCACGTCTATGTCCACGTCCACGTCCACGTCCATGCCAAGTTCTCCACGTCCACGTCCACGTCCACGTCGATGTCCACGTCCACGTCCACGTCCACGTCCACGTCCACGTCCAGGTCCACGTCCACGTTCACGTCCACGTCCACGTCCACGTCCTCGTCCACTCCACGTCCATGTCCACGTTCACGTCTACGTCCACGTCCACGTCCACGTCCACGTCCACGTCCACGTCCACGTCCATGTCCACGTCCACGTCCATGTCCACGTCCACGTCCATGTCCATGTCCACGTCCACGTCCACGTCCATGTCCACGTCCACGTCCACGTCCATGTCCACGTCCACGTCCATGTCCACCTCCACGTCCACGTCCATGTCCACGTCCAAGTCCTCCACGTCCACGTCCACGTCCACGTCCACGTTCACGTCCATGTCCACGTCCAAGTTCTCCACGTCCACGTCCACGTCCACGTCCTCCACGTCCACGTCCACGTCCACGTCCTCCACGTCCACGTCCACGTCCACGTCTACGTCCACGTCCATGTCCACGGCCACGTCTACGTCCACGTCCATCTCCACGGCCACGTCCACATCCACGTCCACGTCCACGTCCATGTCCACGTCCACGTCCACGTCCACGTCCATGTCCACGTCCACGTCCACGTCCACTCCACGTCCACGTCCACGTCCACGTCCATGTCCACGTCCACGTCCACGTCCACGTGCACGTCTACGTCCACGTCCACGTCCACGTCCACGTCACGTCCACGTCCACGTCCATGTCCACGTCCACGTCCACTCCACGTCCACGTCCATGTCCACGTCCAAGTCCTCCACGTCCACGTTCACGTCCATGTCCATGTCCAAGTTCTCCACGTCCACGTCCACGTCCACGTCCACGTCCTCCACGTCCACGTCCACGTCCTCCACGTCTACGTCCACGTCCACGTCCACGTCCATGTCCACGTCCATGTCCACGTCCACGTCTACGTCCATGTCCACGTCCACGTCCACGTCCACGTCCATGTCCACGTCCACGTCCACGTCCACGTCCAAGTTCTCCACGTCCACGTCCACGTCCACGTCGATGTCCACGTCCACGTCCACGTCCACGTCCTCGTCCACGTCCAGGTCCACGTCCACGTTCACGTCCACGTCCACGTCCACGTCCACGTCCTCGTCCACGTCCACGTCCACGTCCACGTCCACGTCCATGTCCACGTTCACGTCCACGTCCATGTCCACGTCCACGTCCACGTCCACGTCCATGTTCACGTCCACGTCCACGTCCACGTCCACTCCACGTCCATGTCCACGTCCATGTCCACGTCCACGTCCATGTCCACGTTCACGTCCACGTCCACGTCCACGTCCACGTCCACGTCCATGTCCACGTCCAGTCCACGTCCATGTCCACGTCCACGTCCACGTCCACGTCCAGTCCACGTCCACGTCCACGTCCACGTCCACGTCCACGTCTACGTCCATGTCCACGTCCACGTCCACGTCCACGTCCACGTCCACGTCCACTCCACGTCCACGTCCACGTCCACGTCCACGTCCACGTCCACGTCACGTCCACGTCCACGTCCATGTCCACGTCCACGTCCACGTCCACGTCCACGTCCATGTCCACGTTCACGTCCACGTCCACGTCCATGTCCTCGTCCATGTCAACGTCCACGTCCACGTTCACGTCCACGTCCACGTCCACGTCCACGTCCTTATCCACGTCCACTCCACGTCCATGTCCACGTTCACGTCCACGTCCACGTCCATGTCCACTTTCACGTCCACGTCCACGTCCACGTCCACCTCCACGTCCACGTCCACGTCGATGTCCACGTCCATGTCCACGTCCATGTCCACGTCCACGTCCACGTCCACGTCCACGTCCATGTCCACGTCCACGTCTACGTCCACGTCCACGTCCACGTCCACGTCCACGTCCACGTCCACGTCCATGTCCATGTCCACGTCCATGTCCATGTCCATGTCCACGTCCACGTCCACGTCCACGTCCACGTCCACTCCACGTCCATCGTCCACGTCCATCTCCACGTCCACGTCCATGTCCACGTCCACGTCCACGTCCATGTCCACGTCTACGTCCACGTCCACGTCCAGGTCCAGGTCCAGGTCCACATCCACGGACACGTCCACGTCCATGTCCACGACCAGGTCCATGTCCACGTCCACGTCCATGTCCACGTCCACGTCCACGTCCATGTCCACGTCCATGTCCCCGTCCTCGTCCTCGTCCACGTCCAGGTCCACGTCCATGTCTACGTCCACGTCCACGTCCACGTCCATGTCCACGTCCACGTCCATGTCCAAGACCACGTCCACGTCCACGACCACGTCCACGTCCACGTCCACGTCCACGTCTAAGTCCATGTCCACGTCCACGTCCACGTCCACATCCACGACCATGTCTTCGTCCACGTCCACGTCCACGTCCATGTCCACGTCCATGTCCACGTCCAAGTTCTCCACGTCCACGTCCACTTCCACGTCGACGTCCACGTACATGTCCACGTCCATGTCCACGTCCATGTCCACGTCGATGTCCACGTCCACGTCCATGTCCACGTCCACGTCCACGTCCACGTCAACGTCCATCTCCACGTCCAAGTCCTCCACGTCCACGTCCACGTCCATCTCCACGTCCACGTCCACGTCCACGCCCACGTCCACGTCCACGTCCATGTCCACGTCCATGTCCACGTCCACGTACATGTCCACGTCCATGTCCACGTCCACGTCCACGTCCACGTCCATGTCCACGTCCACGTCCACATCCACGTCCACGTCCACGTCCACGTCCATGTCCATGTCCACGTCCACGTCCACGTCCATGTCCACGTCCATGTCCACGTCCACATCCACGTCCACATCCACGTCCACATCCACGTCCACATCCACGTCCACGTCCACGTCCATGTCCATGTCCACGTCCACGTCCATGTCCACGTCCATGTCCACGTCCATGTCTACGTCCATGTCCACGTCCATGTCCACGTCCACGTCCACGTCCATGTCCACGTCCACATCCACGTCCACGTCCACGTCCATGTCCATGTCCACGTCCATGTCCACGTCCACTCCACGTCCATCGTCCACGTCCATGTCTACGTCCACGTCCACGTCGACGTCCATCTCCACGTCCACGTCCACGTCCACGTCCACGTCTATGTCCACGTCCACGTCCATGTCCACGTCGACGTCCACGTCCACTCCACGTCCACGTCCACGTCCCAGTCCACGTCCACGTCCACGTCCACGTCCATGTCCACGTCCACGTCCACGTCCACGTCCATATCCACGTCCACGTCCACGTCCACGTCCAGGTCCAGGTCCACGTCCACGTCCACGTCCATGTCCACGACCAGGTCCACGTCCAGGTCCACGTCCACGTCCACGTCCACGTCCATGTCCACGTCCACGTCCACGTCCATGTCCACGTCCATGTCCACGTCCACGTCCTCGTCCACGTCCAGGTCCACGTCCATGTCTACGTCCACGTCCACGTCCACGTCCACGTCCATGTCCACGTCCACGTCCATGTCCAAGACCACGTTTACGTCCACGACCACGTCCACGTCCACGTCCACGTCCACGTCTAAGTCCATATCCACGTCCACGTCCACGTCCACGTCCACGACCATGTCTTCGTCCACGTCCACGTCCACGTCCATGTCCACGTCCATGTCCACGTCCAAGTTCTCCACGTCCACGTCCACTTCCACGTCGAAGTCCACGTACACGTCCACGTCCATATCCACGTCCACGTCCACGTCCATGTCCACGTCCACGTCCATGTCCACGTCCATGTCTACGTCCACGTCAACGTCCATCTCCACGTCCAAGTCCTCCACGTCCACGTCCACGTCCATCTCCACGTCCACATCCACGTCCACGTCCACGCCCACGTCCACGTCCACGTCCATGTCCACGTCCATGTCCACGTCCATGTCCACGTCCATGTCCACGTCCATGTCCATGTCCACGTCCATGTCCACGTCCATGTCCACGTCCATGTCCACGTCCACGTCCATGTCCACGTCCACGTCCACGTCCATGTCCACGTCCATGTCCACGTCCAGGTCCACGTCTACGTCCATGTCCACGTCCACGTTCACGTCCACGTCTTGTTCACGTCCACGTCCATGTCCACGTCCACGTCCACGTCCACGTCCACGACCATGTCCACGTCCACGTCCATGTCCACGTCCACGTCCACGTCCACGTCTATGTCCACGTCCACGTCCACGTCCATGTCCACGTCCACGTCCACGTCCACGTCCACGTCCACCTCCACGTCCACCGTCCACCTCCACGTCCACCTCCACGTCCACCTCCACGTCCACCTCCACGTCCACCTCGACGTCCACCTCCACGTCCACGTCCACGTCCACGTCCATGTCCACGTCCACGTCCACGTCCACCTCCACGTCCACCTCGACGTCCACCTCCACGTCCACGTCCACCTCCACGTCCACGTCCACGTCCACCTCCACGTCCACCTCCACGTCCACCTCCACGTCCACCTCCACGTCCACCTCCACGTCCACCTCCACGTCCACGTCCACGTCCACGTCCACCTCCACGTCCACGTCCACGTCCACGTCGACGTCCACGTCCACGTTATGTCCACGTCCACGTCCACGTCCACGTCCACGTCCACGTCCACCTCCACGTCCACGTCCACGTCCACATCCACGTCCACATCCACGTCCACCTCCACGTCCACCTCCACGTCCACCTCCACGTCCACGTCCACGTCCACGTCCATCTCCACGTCCACGTCCATGTCCACGTCCACGTCCACGTCCACGTCCATCTCCACGTCCACGTCCACGTCCACGTCCACTCCACGTCCACGTCCACCTCCACGTCCACGTCCACGTCCACGTCCACGTCCACGTCCACGTACAAGTCCAAGTCCACGTCCACGTCCACGTCCACGTCCACGTCCACGTCCACGTCGACCTCCACCTCCACGTCCACCGTCCACCTCCACGTCCACCTCCACGTCCACCTCCACGTCCACCTCCACGTCCACGTCCACGTCCACGTCCACGTCCACGTCCATGTCCACGTCCACGTCCACGTCCACGTCCACCTCCACGTCCACGTCCACGTCCACCTCCACTTCCACGTCCACTTCCACGTCCACGTCCACGTCCACGTCCACGTCCACCTCCACGTCCACCTCCATGTCCACCTCCATGTCCACCTCCACGTCCACCTCCACGTCCACCTCCACGTCCACGTCCACGTCCACGTCGACCTCCACGTCCACGTCCACGTCCACGTCCACGTCCACGTTATGTCCACGTCCACGTCCACGTCCTGTCCACGTCCACGTCCACGTCTACGTCCACGTCCACGTCCACGTCCACGTCCACGTCCACGTCCACGTCCACCTCCACGTCCACCTCCACGTCCACCTCCACGTCCACCTCCACGTCCACCTCCACGTCCACCTCCACGTCCACCTCCACGTCCACCTCCACGTCCACCTCCACGTCCACCTCCACGTCCACCTCCACCTCCACGTCCACCTCCACGTCCACCTCCACGTCCACCTCCACGTCCACGTCCACGTCCACCTCCACGTCCACGTCCACGTCCACCTCCACGTCCTCGTCCACGTCCTCCTTGTCAGAACATTATAGCTGATACATGTTTGTAGGCTGTAGTGGGGTAGCACATATGGGGTACAGATTCCTAGTGTTTGTTATTTGTACCAATTTCTGACTTAGTCATTTCATTCCTCTTCTCATTGTTTCACATGGTATAGAGCTAGGTCCCTCCAGGACCGATTTTTTTTTTTGGGCCCACCGAAGCGCGCCCCGAGGCGCGGTTTTTTTTTAGCGACCCCTCGAGTCGCCCTCTCCCCTGCGGCCTCGCCGCCCACTCTGTCGCGGCCCCGCCCTGACCCTTACGCGGCCCCGCCGCCTGCTCCTTACGCGGCCCCGCGCCGGCCCCTTACGCGGCCCTTACGCGGCCCCGCGCCGGCCCCTTACGCGGCCCTTACGCGGCCCCGCGCCGGCTCCTAAGCGGCCCCGCGCCGGCTCCTACGCGGCCCCGTCCCCGGCTCCTACGCGGCCCCGCCACCGGCTCCATTGCGGCCCCGCCCCGGCTCCTACGCGGCCCTGTCCGCCTGCCCCTTACGCGGCCCCGCCGCCGGCCCCTTACGCGGCCCCGCGCCGGCCCCTTACGCGGCCCCGCGCCGGCCTCCTACGCGGCCCTGCCCCGGCTCCTACGCGGCCCCGCCGCCGGCTCCTACTCGGCCCCGCGCCGGCTCTCACGCGGCCCCGTCCCGGCTCCTTCACGGCCCTGTCCGCCGGCCCCTTACGCGGCCCTGCCGCCGGCCTCTGCTCGGCCCTGCGCCGACCCCTGCGCGGCCCTGCCGCCGGCTCCAACGCGGCCCTGCCCCGGCTCCTAAGCCGGCCCTACCGCCAGCCCTGCCGCCGGCTCCAACGCGGCCCTGCCCCGGCTCCTACGCGGCCCTACCGCCGGCCCCTTCGCGGCCCCGCCCCGGTTCTCTTACGCGACCCCGCCGCCTCACCTGCAGCAGTCGGGCGGCCGGGCAGCCGACCCGCCCAGTCGCCGAGCCGCCCGGGAGCCGAGTCGCCCTGCACCCGAGCCGTCCGTCGCCGAGCCGCCCGGGAGCCGAGCCGCCCTGCACCCGAGCCGCCCTGCCGCCGAGCCGCCCGGGAGCTGAGCAGCTGTACACCCGAGCCGCCCGGTCGCCGCTCTGCTTTTCTGTCGAGCTGCACGGCCTGCCCTGCCTGGTGAGCACAGTCCCTCTGTCACTGCGCCCTCTTTCCCTACTGCTTGCACTGCTTCGCTGTCGTCATCATGGCCACCCCTAGTGTCCTAGCCTTTGACGCCGAGGGTCGCGCCATTGATTTCGAGGTCTGGCTAGATGACCTGCAGCTTTTCTTACAGTGCGACAGAGCTGACAGCCTTTCTCTCTTTGACCTCACCTCTGGCGCCTCTCCTGCTCCTACTGCCGATGCTGATCCCACTGTCCGCTCTCAGTGGGCCACCCGCGATGCTGCTGCACGTCTTGCTGTGCGTCGCCACCTCCCTACCTCTGAGCGTGCGCATTTTAGTCAGTACAAGAGTGCTCAGACCTTGTACGACGCTGTAGTTGCACGCTACTCCTCTCCTGCCACTGCTGCACTGAGCCGTCTCATGCTTCCCTACCTCTTTCCTGACCTCTCTGCCTTTCCCACTGTCGCTGACCTCATTACGCACCTCCGCACTAGTGACACTCGCTACCGCGCCGCCCTTCCTGCTGAGTTCTGCGCTAAGAACCCCCCCCCCATGTACATCACTCTCTACTACGTAGTCGCACGCCTCCCTGACTCCCTCCGCGTAGTCAGGGACCACTTTCTCGCAGTCTGTCCCACCACTCTCACCGTCGACCTCCTCGAGAAGGCCCTCCTCGCAGCGGAGAAGAGCATAGTCGCTGTCGGTGCCTCTCGTTGTGACCCTCGCACCCCCATCTTTGAGGGGTGCTCTCCTTCCCCCTTGCTGCCCTCTGTTGCCTCTGCTGCTGCGGCCGACCTGCTTGGTCTTGAGTCGGTCGGCGCGGCGTCTGCCCCTAGTGGGAGACGTCGCTCTGGCAAGGGCAAGGGGGGCAAGGGCGCGGGCGGAGCTGGAGGGGGCGGTGGCGGTGGCGGCGGAGGCGGCGGAGGGAGTGGGGGTGGCGGCGGGAGTAGTGGTAGTGGTGGTGGTGGTGGTGGCAGCAGCGGCGGAGACGGTGGTGGTGGTGGCACCGGTGGTGGTGGAGGCAGCAGCGGGAGTGGAGGCAGTGGAGGTGGAGGCGGTGGAGGTGGAGGCGGTGGAGGCGGCGGCGGAGGAGGCGGTGGTGGTGGAGGAGGTGGAGCTGGTCGTGGTGGTACCCAGCAGCGGAGCGGCGGTGGTGGTGGCCAGCGCTCGCAGCGGCAGCAGCAGCAGCGTTCGCGGGACATCCCTCCGCCTCAGCAGCTTCGTGAGTGGTACACTGCGCGTCAGAGGGGTGGGGGTACTGGTCCCTGCGCCTACGTTCTTCGTTCCGGCGACCGCGCGGGTGAGCAGTGTGGGGGTGCCCACTCCACCCAGCGCTGCTTTGGCCGCCTGACGGACGCTTGGCGTCAGCAGTTCCCCGGGGCTAGTGAGATCCCTCGCTGGGATGAGCTCCTTAGGGCTGGTGTAGCGATCTTTGATCTTGATTTTGATGCTATCCTTTCTGCTATGTATGCTGTGACTTATAGTGAGGAGAATGAGGGTTACCGGTGTTTCCAGCCCGACCCGGGCATTGGTACTGCTGCCCTAGGTACTTGTGAGGCTGCTGCTCTAGGTGCCAGTGCGTCTGCGCTCTCAGGTACTAGTGAGACTGCGCTCTCAGGTGCTGGTGAGACTGCGCTCTCAGGTACTGCGTCGCCCTCGTCCTCCCTCACTTTCACACTTGACTCTGGGGCTTCTCGCTCCTTCTTTCGAGACCGCACTACCCTCACGCCACTTGGCCGACCGGTTGCGGTCTCCCTTGCTGACCCCTCTGGGGGTCCTGTCCTGTCTCACTTCTCCACTGTCCTCCCGTGTCCGGCTGCCCCTTCGGGCACCCTGTCTGGTCTGTACCTTCCCTCGTTCTCTACGAACTTGGTGAGTTGTGCGGACCTACAGGATGCGGGGGTTCACCAGTTCACTCCTGCGAGGCGGCGGGTGACCCACTGCACGGACGCAGACACAGGCCGACACCTGGCCACCTTTTCGCGTCGGCTGGGGTCGAGTCTCTACACCCTGACCACTTCGTCTCCTCCTGTCCCTGTGTCTGGTCAGGTAGCTGCGTCAGGTCAGGTGTTTGCTGCTGCGTCCCGGTCAGGTCCTGAGTCTGCCCCCTGTTCTTGTCGCCTCCTGTCTCACGAGACTCTCCTGTGGCACCACCGTCTAGGCCACCCCTCCTTGGCTCGTCTTCGGAGCATGGCTTCCCGTGTCCTTGTCTCTGGTCTTCCCCGGTCTCTCCCTCCTCCCCCCCCCGGGCCAGGGCCTTCCTGTGTCCCCTGTGTCGAGGGTCGCCTCCGGGCTACTCCTCACTCTTCCCACTTCCCCCCGACAGAGGCTCCGCTGCAGACGCTTCACATGGATGTGTGGGGCCCGGCCCCCGTCCGTGGGCAGGGTTACGAGCGCTACTTCCTGTTGGTGGTTGACGACTACTCGCGTTACACCACAGTCCTCCCCTTGCGCAGCAAGGGTGCTGTCACTGAGGTGCTGATCGACTGGATCCGCGAGGCTCGTCTCCAGCTCAGGAAGAGCTTCGGCTCTGACTTTCCTGTTCTGCGTCTGCACTCGGACAGAGGCGGAGAGTTCTCCTCTCGCCTTCTGCGAGACTACTGTCGTGCACGGGGGATCCGCCAGACCTTCACGCTTCCGGACTCACCACAGCAAAATGGGATTGCTGAGCGCCGCATTGGCATGGTCATGGATGTCGCTCGTACGTCCATGATGCATGCGGCTGCCCCCCATTTTCTGTGGCCGTTTGCGGTGAGGTACGCGGCGCATCAGCTCAACCTTCACCCGCGGGTCTCTAGGCCTGCGATGTCCCCAGCCTTGCTGTGGACGGGGAAGGTTGGCGATGCGTCTGTGTTTCGTGTCTGGGGACAAGCTGTCCCCTCGTGCTGCTCCCTGTGTCTTCCTTGGCTTCCCCACTGACGCCCCAGGGTGGCAGTTCTACCACCCCTCCTCTCGTCGTGTTCTTTCCTCCCAGGACGTCACGTTCGACGAGTCGGTCCCCTTCTACCGTCTCTTCCCCTACCGCACTCCTTCCCTCCCCCCTCCCCCGGACTTCCTTGTGCCGGTTCCCCCCCCGGTAGACCCCCTTCCCCCTCAGGTTCCTGCTCCCTCAGGTGTGTCCCAGGTAGACGCCGTTGACCCGGTCGAGGTTACTGGTGACTCTGGTGCTGCTGCGGGTGCTGAGCCTGGGGGTGCTGACTCTGGGGGTGCTGTCCGCGGGGGTGCTGAGCCTAGAGGAGCTGCTGCTGGGGGTCCTGAGCCTGGGGGTGCTAGTGCGGAGGGTGCGGAGCCTAGGAGTGCTGCGCCGGGGGGTGCTGTCACTGGAGGTGCTGGGTCTGGGGGTGCTGGGTCGGGAGCTGCTGAGCCTGGGGGTGCTGAGTTGGGAGCTGCTGCGCCTGGGGGTGCTGCGTCTGGAGCTACTGCGCCTGGGGTTTCTCCTGCTGCTCAGCCTCCCCGGGAGCCTCTCTCTCCACAGGAGCTGCGCGAGTGGTTCGCTCGTCGTTGGAGGCGTGCTGCTGAGTCTGGGGGTGCTGCTGGAGCTGGAGCTGGACCTTCTTCGACTGACGAGGGTGCTGGTGCTGCCGGTCCCGGAGCTGCTGGGCCTGCGGGTCCTCTTGGAGCTGGCGCTGCTGAGGGTGTTGGTGCTGAGACTGCTACTGTTGGTCCTGCTGCTGGAGGAGTTGGTGGCCCTGGTGCTGTCGCTGAGGGTGCTGGAGCTGTCCCTGCTGCGCCTGGAGCTGCTGAGCGGCCTCGACCGTACTTCGTTCCGCTACTGCAGCAGGTTCTTGGTCTTTCTCCTCCGGTAGAGAGTCCACCGCCTGTCCAGTCGCAGTCCTTGCTGGAGCCTTCCTCTCCACTGCCTGCTCCCTCTCCTTACACTGGTCCTACTGGAGGTCTTGCTGAGCGTCGTGAGCCTGCGTCTCGTCCTGCGTCGCCTGTTCGTCCTGCTCGCGCTACTGGTCGCGGTTCGCGTCAGCGTCCTCCTCCTGTCCCTGGCACGCACCAGATGTCTTTGCGTCCGTCCACTGCTCCTCTGCGTGCCCCTTTGCCTTCTCCTCCTGCGTCCTCTCTTCCTGCGCTTGCCGACCCTGCGTCGGACTCTCTGCGTGCTGCCAGTCCTACTGTCACGCGTTTCCTTGCTACTGTGGTCACTGACCCTTCTTTCGAGTCTTCTGCTGCGTCTGCCCTACTCACTGAGCTTGTCGACTTTGCTGCTCGCTGTCGCTTAGACTACGCTGCTAGTCTTGTTGCTGAGTCTGCGTCTGTCTGTCCTCCGTCCGTCGGGGGTGAGTGTGCTCTTGGCACGGACGTCCTAGAGGACAGGCAGGAGGAGTTACAGTGTTTAGCGGCTGCTTCACCTCATCTCGCGTCTGTACTGCTTGCCCCTGAGGGAGACCCGGATGCACTAGACATCCCGACTCCGCGTTCTTACGCGGAGGCTGTAGAGGGTCCCTACTCCTCTCAGTGGCAGGCAGCTATGGATGCAGAGATGGCTTCCTGGAAGTCCACAGGCACCTACGTTGACGCAGTTCCCCCTCCTGGGGCGAACATCGTCAGTGGCATGTGGATCTTCAGGGTGAAGCGGCCGCCGGGCTCTCCGCCTGTCTTCAAGGCGCGTTACGTCGCTCGTGGCTTCAGTCAGCGGCAGGGAGTTGACTACTTTCAGACCTTCTCTCCCACCCCGAAGATGACTACTCTTCGGGTGCTGCTGCACGTTGCCGCTCAGCGCGACTACGAGCTTCACTCTCTCGACTTCAGCACTGCGTTCCTGCAGGGTAGCCTGCACGAGGAGATCTGGCTGCGCCGTCCGCCTGGCTTCACTGGGACTTTCCCTCCTGGCACCCAGTGGAGCCTCCGACGGCCAGTCTACGGTCTCCGCCAGGCACCGCGTGAGTGGCACGACACACTGAGGACTACGCTTGCGGCTCTTGGGTTTGCTCCTTCCACTGCTGACCCGTCGCTGTTTCTTCGCACCGACACTTCCTTGCCGCCGTTCTACATCCTCGTGTACGTCGACGACTTGGTCTTTGCCACAGCGGACACTGCTGGACTCGCCTACGTGAAGTCCGAGCTGCTGAAGAGACACACGTGCACAGACCTGGGTGAACTGCGCAGCTACCTTGGCTTGCAGATCACTCGGGACAGAGCACGCCGCACCATTACCCTGACTCAGTCACACATGGTGCAGCAGGTCCTTCAGCGCTTCGGCTTCACGTACTCCTCGCCTCAGGCCACTCCTCTGCCTACTCGCCACTCGCTCTCAGCTCTACCTTCGGATGAGTCCGTAGAGTCGAGTGGCCCGTATGCAGAGCTTGTTGGCTGCCTCATGTACCTGATGACCTGCACACGACCTGACCTTGCATACCCTCTGAGCATCCTTGCACGCTATGTTGCTCCTGGGAGACACCGACCTGAGCACATGGCTGCAGCGAAGAGGGTATTGCGCTACCTGTGCAGTACGTCGGGCATGGGGCTAGTGCTTGGAGGGCGGAGTCCAGTGGTCCTTACGGGCCACGCGGACGCTTCTTGGGCTGACGACCAGGCTACGCAGCGGTCGTCACAGGGTTACACCTTCAGCCTTGGTTCCGGCTCTGTCTCGTGGCGGTCTACTCGCTCGTCTTCGGTTCTCGGCTCCAGTTGTGAGGCTGAGATCTACGCCGGGGCCATGGCTGCGCAGGAGCTTCGCTGGCTCACCTACCTGCTGACTGACCTTGGAGAGCCGCCTCGTTCTCCTCCAGTGCTGTACGTAGACAACAAGGCCATGCTGGCCTTGTGTCGAGAGCAGCGTCTGGAGCACAGAACGAAGCACATTGCTCTCCGCTACTTCCTTGCTCGTGAGCTGCAGCAGCGTGGACAGCTGCGACTTGCGTACGTGGCCTCTGAGGCCAACACTGCTGATGTGTTCACCAAGGCACTCGCGCCTTGTGACCATCAGCGCTTCTGTACCCAGCTGGGTCTTGTGCCTGTCTTGCCTCACTTGCTCTCTTCCTGACTTCACTTGTACTGTGATATATATATATACCTGCTCTTGCTTGTCTAGTAATATATATATGTCTGTACTCCTGCATGTGAACTGTCCTCTGGCCCTGCTCTTGTGCTCGGACTGTGTGGTGACTTTGTGATCCACCCTGAGCTTGCTTTGCTTTGCTTGACTGGTCTTGTGACCCCTTGTTCTCCCCCACTTTGCCTATGGGGGTGTGTCAGAACATTATAGCTGATACATGTTTGTAGGCTGTAGTGGGGTAGCACATATGGGGTACAGATTCCTAGTGTTTGTTATTTGTACCAATTTCTGACTTAGTCATTTCATTCCTCTTCTCATTGTTTCACACTCCTCCACGTCCACGTCCACGTCCACGTCCACGTCCACGTCCACCTCCACGTCCACCTCCACGTCCACCTCCATGTCCACGTCCACCTCCACGTTCACGTCCACGTCCACCTCCACGTCCACCTCCACGTCCACCTCCACGTCCACCTCCACGTCCACGTCCACCTCCACGTTCACGTCCACGTCCACGTCCACCTCCACATCCACGTCCACGTCCACGCCCACGTCCACGTCCACGTCCATGTCCACGTCCATGTCCACGTCCATGTCCACGTCCATGTCCACGTCCATGTCCATGTCCACGTCCATGTCCACGTCCATGTCCACGTCCATGTCCACGTCCACGTCCATGTCCACGTCCACGTCCACGTCCATGTCCACGTCCATGTCCACGTCCATGTCCACGTCCACGTCCATGTCCACGTCCATGTTCACGTCCACGTCTTGTTCACGTCCACGTCCATGTCCACGTCCACGTCCACGTCCACGTCCACGTCCACGTCCACGACCATGTCCACGTCCACGTCCATGTCCACGTCCACGTCCACGTACACGTCTATGTCCACGTCCACGTCCACGTCCACGTCTATGTCCACGTCTACGTCCACGTCCACGTCCATGTCCATGTCCACGTCCACGTCCACGTCCACGTCCATGTCCACGTCCACGTCCACGTCCATGTCCACGTCCACGTCCATGTCCACCTCCACGTCCACGTCCATGTCCACCTCCAAGTCCTCCACGTCCACGTCCACGTCCACGTCCATGTCCACGTCCAAGTTCTCCACGTCCACGTCCACGTCCTCCACATCCACGTCCACGTCCACGTCCATGTCCACGGCCACGTCCACGTCCATCTCCACGTCCACGTCCATGTCCACCTCCAAGTCCTCCACGTCCACGTCCACGTCCACGTCCATGTCCACGTCCAAGTTCTCCACGTCCACGTCCACGTCCTCCACATCCACGTCCATGTCCACGTCCACCTCCACGTTCACGTCCACGTCCACCTCCACGTCCACCTCCACGTCCACGTCCACGTCCACGTCCACGTCCACGTCCACGTCCACCTCCACGTCCACCTCCACGTCCACCTCCACGTCCACGTCCACGTCCACGTCCACCTCCACGTCCACCTCCACGTCCACCTCCACGTCCACCTCCACGTCCACCTCCACGTCCACCTCCACGTCCACCTCCACGTCCACCTCCACGTCCACCGTCCACCTCCACGTCCACCTCCACGTCCACCTCCACGTCCACCTCCACGTCCACCTCCACGTCCACCTCCACGTCCACCTCCACGTCCACGTCCACGTTATGTCCACCTCCACGTCCACGTCCACGTCCACGTCCACCTCCACGTCCACGTCCACCTCCACGTCCACGTCCACGTCCACGTCCACGTCCACCTCCACGTCCACCTCCACGTCCACGTCCACGTCCACGTCCACGTCCACGTCCACGTCCACCTCCACGTCCACGTCCACCTCCACGTCCACGTCCACGTCCACGTTATGTCCACGTCCACGTCCACGTCCAGGTCCACGTCCACGTCCACGTCCACGTCCACGTCCACGTTACGTCCACGTCCACGTTATGTCCACGTCCACGTCCACGTCCACGTCCACCTCCACGTCCACGTCCACCTCCACGTCCACCTCCACGTCCACCTCCACGTCCACCTACACGTCCACCTCCACGTCCACGTCCACCTCCACCTCCACCTCCACCTCCACGTCCACCTCCTCGTCCACCTCCACGTCCACCTCCACGTCCACGTCCACGTCCACGTCCACGTCCACGTCCATGTCCACCTCCACGTCCACCTCCACGTCCACCTCCACGTCCACCTCCACGTCCACGTCCACCTCCACGTCCACCTCCACCTCCACGTCCACCTCCACGTCCACCTCCACGTCCACGTCCACGTCCACGTCCACGTCCACGTCCACCTCCACGTCCACCTCCACGTCCACCTCCACGTCCACCTCCACGTCCACCTCCACGTCCACCTCCACGTCCACGTCCACGTCCACGTCCACGTCCACCTCCACGTCCACCTCCACGTCCACCTCCACGTCCACGTCCACCTCCACGTCCACGTCCACGTCCACGTTATGTCCACGTCCACGTCCACGTCCAGGTCCACGTCCACGTCCACGTCCACATCCACGTCCACGTTACGTCCACGTCCACGTTATGTCCACGTCCACGTCCACGTCCACGTCCACGTCCACCTCCACGTCCACGTCCACCTCCACGTCCACCTCCACGTCCACCTCCACGTCCACCTACACGTCCACCTCCACATCCACGTCCACCTCCACCTCCACCTCCACCTCCACCTCCACGTCCACCTCCACGTCCACCTCCACGTCCACCTCCACGTCCACCTCCACGTCCACCTCCACGTCCACGTCCACGTCCATGTCCACCTCCACGTCCACCTCCACGTCCACCTCCACGTCCACCTCCACGTCCACGTCCACCTCCACGTCCACCTCCACCTCCACGTCCACCTCCACGTCCACCTCCACGTCCACGTCCACGTCCACGTCCACCTCCACGTCCACGTCCACCTCCACGTCCACCTCCACGTCCACCTCCACGTCCACGTCCACGTCCACCTCCACGTCCACCTCCACGTCCACGTCCACGTCCACGTCCACGTCCACCTCCACGTCCACCTCCACGTCCACCTCCACGTCCACCTCCACGTCCACGTCCACCTCCACGTCCACGTCCACGTCCACGTCCACGTTATGTTCACGTCCACGTCCACGTCCACGTCCACGTCCACGTTATGTCCACCTCCACGTCCACGTCCACGTCCACGTCCACCTCCACGTCCACGTCCACCTCCACGTCCACGTCCATGTCCACGTCCACGTCCACCTCCACGTCCACCTCCACGTCCACGTCCACGTCCATGTCCACGTCCAAGTCCACGTCCACGTCCACGTCCACGTCCAGGTCCACGTCCACGTCCACGTCCACGTCCAAGTCCACGTCCACGTCCACGTCCACGTCCACGTCTACGTCCATGTCCACGTCCGTGTCCACGTCCGTGTCCACGTCCACGTCCACGTCCGTGTCCACGTCCACGTCCACTCCACGTCCACGTCCATGTCCACGTCCAAGTCCTCCACGTCCACGTCCACGTCCACGTTCACGTCCATGTCCACGTCCAAGTTCTCCACGTCCACGTCCACGTCCACGTCCACGTCCTCCACGTCCACGTCCACGTCCTCCACGTCCACGACCACGTCCACGTCCACGTCCACGTCCATGTCCACGTCCACGTCCATGTCCACGTCCATGTCCACGTCCACGTCCACGTCCACGTCCAAGTCCAGGTCCACGTCCACGTCCACGTCCACGTCCACGTCCACCTCCACGTCCACGTCCACGTCCATGTCCACGTCCATGTCCACGTCCACGTCCATGTCCATGTCCAAGTTCTCCACGTCCACGTCCACGTCCACGTCCACCTCCATGTCCACGTCCACGTCCACGTCCACGTCCACGTCCAGGTCCAGGTCTACGTTCACGTCCACGTCCACGTCCACGTCCACTCCACGTCCATGTCCACGTCCACGTCCACGTCCACGCCACGTCCACGTCCACGTCCACGTCCACGTCCTCGTCCACGCCACGTCCACGTCCACGTCCACGTCCACGTTATGTCCACCTCCACGTCCACGTCCACGTCCACGTCCACGTCCACCTCCACGTCCACGTCCACCTCCACGTCCACGTCCATGTCCACGTGCACGTCCACCTCCACGTCCACCTCCACGTCCACGTCCACGTCCATGTCCACGTCCAAGTCCACGTCCACGTCCACGTCCACGTCCACGTCCAGGTCCACGTCCACGTCCACGTCCAAGTCCACGTCCACGTCCACGTCCACGTCCGTGTCCACGTCCGTGTCCACGTCCACGTCCACGTCCGTGTCCACGTCCACGTCCACTCCACGTCCACGTCCATGTCCACGTCCAAGTCCTCCACGTCCACGTCCACGTTCACGTCCATGTCCACGTCCAAGTTCTCCACGTCCACGTCCACGTCCACGTCCACGTCCTCCACGTCCACGTCCACATCCTCCACGTCCACGTCCACGACCACGTCCACGTCCACGTCCACGTCCATGTCCACGTCCACGTCCACGTCCACGTCCATGTCCACGTCCACGTCCACGTCCACGTCCACGTCCAAGTCCAGGTCCACGTCCACGTCCACGTCCACGTCCACGTCCACGTCTACGTCCACTTCCACGTCCACCTCCACGTCCACGTCCACGTCCATGTCCACGTCCATGTCCACGTCCACGTCCATGTCCACGTCCAAGTTCTCCACGTCCACGTCCACGTCCACGTCCACCTCCATGTCCACGTCCACGTCCACGTCCACGTCCACGTCCAGGTCCAGGTCTACGTTCACGTCCACGTCCACGTCCATGTCCACTCCACGTCCATGTCCACGTCCACGTCCACGTCCACGCCACGTCCACGTCCACGTCCACGTCCACGTCCTCGTCCACGTCCATGTCCACGTCCTCGTCCACGTCCACGTCCATGTCCACGTCCATGTCCACGTCCAGGTCCACGTCCACGTCCAGGTCCACGTCCACGTCCACGTCCACGTCCACGTCCACGTCTATGTCCACGTCCACGTCCACGTCCACATCCACTCCACGTCCATCGTCCACTCCACGTCCATCGTCCACGTCCATGTCTACGTCCACGTCCACGTCCACGTCCATCTCCACGTCCACGTCCACATCCACGTCCACGTCCATGTCCACGTCCACGTCCACGTCCACGTCCACGTCCACGTCCACATCACGTCCACGTCCACGTCCCGTCCACGTCCACGTCCACGTCCACGTCCATGTCCACGTCCACGTCCATGTCCACGTCCACGTCCATGTCCGCGTCCACGACCATGTCCGCGTCCACGACCACGTCAACGTCCACGTCCACGTCCACGTCCACATCCACGTCCACGTCCACGTCCATGTTCCTCCACGTCCACGTCCACGACCAGGTCCACGTCCACGTCCACGTCTACGTCCATGTCTACGTCCACGTTCACGTCCACGACCATGTCTTCGTCACGTCCACGTCCACGTCCACGTCCAATTCCACGTCTAGGTCCACATCCACGTCCACGTCCATGTCCACGTCCACGTCCACGTCCACGTCCACGACCACGTCCACGTCCACGTCCACGTCCACGTCTACGTCCATGTCCACGTCCACGTCCACGTCCATGTCCACGTCCACGTCCATGTCCACGTCCATGTCCACGTCAACGTCCATATCCACGTCCATGTCCATGTCTACGTCCACGTCCACGTCCACGACCACGTCAACGTCCATGTCCACGTCCACGTCCATATCCACGTCCATGTCCATATCCTTGTCCACGTCCACGTCCACGACCACGTCCATGTCATTTGCACTCTAAGTTCCCATACTGACCGACCTAGCCAATGCACCATTTTCCATATACATATGCATTAGATTCCTTTCGAACCTTATTAGCTCACTAGATTTATATATTTCCCACCTTCTGATCGAGTGAGACCGCTAGATTCCTTATACATTTCGAGAAATGAGCGTTTCCGTTCTCCTTGGCCCTAGTTGCACTATAAGTGCGAAATGCCGGCCAGACTGGCCGACGCACAATTTTCTCTACACATGTTCGTTAGTTACCTTTCAAACCCTTATGTTCACTAGATGAATATATTTCCTACTTTCTATTTGGGTGACGCCACTTGATTCCGTGTATTATGCGAGATCTGAGCGCTTCCGTTCTCCCTGGCATTTGCATTTTAAGTTCCGATACTGACTGACCTGGCCAATGCACCATTTTCTCTATACATGTGCGGTGAATATATTTCAAACCTTTTTAGCTGACTAGATTTATATATTTCCCACCTTCTGATCGGGTGAGACTTTTAGATTCCCTCTACTTTTTGAGAAACGAGCGTTTCTGTTCTCCCTGGCCCCACGTGCACTATGAGTGCGAAATGCCGGCCAGACTGGCCGATGCACCATTTTCTCTACACATGTGGGTTAGTTACCTTTCAAACCCTTACGTTCACTAGATGAATATATTTCCTACCTTATATTTGAGTAAGACCACTAGATTCCGTGTATTATGCGAGATCTATGCGGTTCTGTTCTCCCAGGCATTTGTGTCAGAGGTCCACTGGTGATCCCCGATCGATCCTAGGGAAGGGTTACAGGCACGTTTGCCTGGGGGGTTATGGGCGCACTGACCCGCTACTGAAACAAGCCCTTTTATCCCAATGGTCTAGTGGTTGGGATTCTGAGATGGTATCAGAGCGAAGGTCTCGGGTTCGAATCCCGGTGTATGCACTTCGGGCATCCCAGTGCGGGGGGGTGTCAGAGGTCCACTGGTGATCCCCGATCGATCCTAGGGAAGGGTTACAGGCACGTTTGCCTGGGGGGTTATGGGCGCACTGACCCGCTACTGAAACAAGCCCTTTTATCCCAATGGTCTAGTGGTTGGGATTCTGAGAATTTGCACTCTAAGTTTCCATACTGACCGACCTGGCCAATGCACCACTTTCCATATACATATGCATTAGATTCCTTCCGAACCTTATTAGCTCACTAGATTTATATATTTCCCACCTTCTGATCGAGTGAGACCGCTAGATTCCCTTTACTTTTTGAGAAATGAGCGTTTCCGTTCTCCTTGGCCCCACGTGCACTATGAGTGCGAAATGCCGGCCAGACTGGCCGATGCACCATTTTCTCTACTCATGTGCGTTAGTTACCTTTCAAACCCTTATGTTCACTAGATGAATTTATTTCCTACCTTCTATTTGAGTGAGACCACTAGATTCCGTGTACTATGCGAGATCTGAGCGCTTCCGTTCTCCCTGGCATTTGCACTCTAAGTTCCCATACTGACCGACCTGGCCAATGCACCATTTTCCATATACAAATGCATTAGATTCCTTTCGAACCTTATTAGCTCACTAGATTTATATGTTTCCCACCTTTTGATAGAGTGAGACCGCTAGATTCCCTCTACTTTTTGAGAAATGAGCGTTTCCGTTCTCCTTGGCCCTAGTTGCACTATAAGTGCGAAATGCCGGCCAGACTGGCCGATGCACAATTTTCTCTACACATGTGCGTTAGTTACCTTTCAAACCCTTACGTTCACTAGATGAATATATTTTCTCCTTTCTATTTGAGTGAGACCACTTGATTCCGTGTACTATGCGAGATCTGAGCGCTTCCGTTCTCCCAGGCATTTGCATTTTAAGTTCCGATACTGACCGGCCTGGCCAATGCACCATTTTCTCTATACCTGTGCGTTGAATACATTTCAAACCTTTTTAGCTGACTAGATTTATATATTTCCCACCTTCTGATTGAGTGAGTCCGTTAGATTCCCTCTACTTTTTGAGAAACGAGCATTTTCGTTCTCCCTGGCCCCACCTGAACTAAAAGTGCGAAATGCTGGCCAGATTGGCTGATGCACCATTTTCTCTACACATGTGCGTTAGTTACATTTCAACCCCTTACGTTCACTAGATGAATTTATTTCCTACCTTCTATTTGAGTGAGACCACTAGATTCCGTGTACTATGCCAGATCTGAGCGCTTCCGTTCTCCCTGGCATTTGCACTCTAAGTTCCCATACAGACCGACCTGGCCAATGCACCACTTTCCATATACATATGCATTAGATTCCTTTCGAACCTTATTAGCTCACTAGATCTATATATTTCCCACCTTATGATCGAGTGAGACCGCTAGATTCCCTTTACTTTTTGAGAAATGAGCGTTTCCGTTCTCCTTGGCCCTACTTGCACTATGAGTGCGAAATGCCGGCCAGACTGGCCGATGCACCATTTTCTCTACACATGTGCGTTAGTTACCTTTCAAACCATTACGTTCACTAGATGAATTTATTTCCTACCTTCTATTTGAGTGAGACCACTAGATTCCGTGTACTATGCGAGATCTGAGCGCTTCTGTTCTCCCTGGCATTTGCACTCTAAGTTCCCATACTGACCGACCTGGCCAATGCACCACTTTCCCTATACATATGCATTAGATTCCTTTCGAACCTTATTAGCTCACTAGATTTATATATTTCCCACCTTCTGATCGAGTGAGACCGCTAGATTCCCTTTACTTTTTGAGAAATGAGCGTTTCCGTTCTCCTTGGCCCTACTTGCACTATAAGTGCGAAATGCCGGCCAGACTGGCCGATGCACCATTTTCTCTACACATGTGCGTTAGTTACCTTTCAAACCCTTACGTTCACTATATGAATTTATTTCCTACCTTCTATTTGAGTGAGACCACTAGATTCCGTGTACTATGCGATATCTGAGCGCTTCCGTTCTCCCTGGCATTTGCACTCTAAGTTCCCATACTGACCGACCTGGCCAATGCACCATTTTCCATATACATATGCATTAGATTCCTTTCAAACCTTATTAGCTCACTAGATTTATATATTTCCCACTTTCTGATCGAGTGAGATTGCTAGATTCCCTTTACTTTCTGAGAAATGAGCGTTTCCGTTCTCCTTGGCCCTACTTGCACTATAAGTGCGAAATGCCGGCCAGACTGGCCGATGCACAATTTTCTCTACACATGTGCGTTAGTTACCTTTCAAACCCTTACGTTCACTAGATGAATATATTTCCTACTTTCTATTTGAGTGAGACCACTTGATTCCGTGTACTATGCGAGATCTGAGCGCTTCCGTTCTCCCTGGCATTTGCATTTTAAGTTACTGACCGACCTAGCCAATGCACCATTTTTTCTATACATGTGCGTTGAATACATTTCAAACCTTTTTAGCTGACTAGATTTATATATTTCCCACCTTCTGATCGAGTGAGACCGTTAGATTCCCTCTACTTTTTGAGAAACGAGCGTTTCCGTTCTACCTGGCCCAACCTGCACTATGAGTGCGAAATGCCGGCCAGACTGGCCGATGCACCATTTTCTCTACACATGTGCATTAGTTACCTTTCAACCCTTACGTTCACTAGATGAATATATTTCTTACCTTATATTTGAGTGAGACCACTAGATTCCGTGTATTATGCGAGATCTGAGCGGTTCCGTTCTCCCAGGCATTTGCACTCTAAGTTCCCATACTGACTGACCTGGCCAATGCACCACTTTCCATATACATATGCATTAGATTCCTTCCGAACCTTATAAGCTCACTAGATTTATATATTTCCCACCTTTTGATCGAGTGATCCCGCTAGATTCCCTTTACTTTCTGAGAAATGAGCGTTTCCGTTCTCCTTGGCCCTACTTGCACTATAAGTGTGAAATGCCGGCCAGACTGGCCGATGCACAATTTTCTCTACACATGTGCGTTAGTTACCTTTCAAACCCTTACGTTCACTAGATGAATATATTTCCTACCTTATATTTGAGTGAGACCACTAGATTCCGTGTATTATGCGAGATCTGAGCGGTTCCGTTCTCCCAGGCATTTGCACTCTAAGTTCCCATACTGACCGACCTGGCCAATGCACTACTTTCCATATACATATACATTAGATTCCTTCCGAACCTTATTAGCTCACTAGATTTATATATTTCCCACCTTTTGATCGAGTGATCCCGCTAGATTCCCTTTACTTTCTGAGAAATGAGCGTTTTCGTTCTCCTTGGCCCTACTTGCACTATAAGTGCGAAATGCCGGCCAGACTGGCCGATGCACAATTTTCTCTACACATGTGCGTTAGTTACCTTTCAAACCCTTACGTTCACAAGATGAATATATTTCCTACCTTATATTTGAGTGAGACCACTAGATTCCGTGTATTATGCGAGATCTGAGCGGTTCTGTTCTCCCAGGCATTTGCACTCTAAGTTCCCATACTGATCGACCTGGCCAATGCACCATTTTCCATATACATATGCATTAGATTCCTTTCGAACCTTATAAGCTCACTAGATTTATATATTTCCCACCTTCTGATCGAGTGAGACCGCTAGATTCCCTTTACTTTTTGAGAAATTAGCGTTTCCGTTCTCCTTGGCCCTACTTGCACTATAAGTGCGAAATGCCGGCCAGACTGGCCGATGTACCATTTTCTCTACACATGTGCGTTAGTTACCTTTCAAACCCTTACGTTCACTAGATGAATATATTTCCTACCTTATATCTGAGTGAGACCACTAGATTCCGTGTATTATGCGAGATCTGAGCGGTTCTGTTCTCCCAGGCATTTGCACTCTAAGTTCCCATACTGACCGACCTGGCCAATGCACCATTTTCCATATACATATGCATTAGATTCCTTTCGAACCTTATAAGCTCACTAGATTTATATATTTCCCACCTTCTTATCGAGTGAGACCGCTAGATTCCCTTTACTTTTTGAGAAATGAGCGTTTCCGTTCTCCTTGGCCCTACTTGCAATATA